TGCAGACTTCACAGTTGTAAGCTGGTTGTGCTCCATTACCCTTGGCTTCTGCATAAGCTCTCTTGTGTGAAGACTAGACAGTCCTTTAAACTCTTGCTTTTCCTGTGATCTCAACCTTACTGTTACACCATTTAGGAAGGTTTGGCTTGCTGCTCCTTGAGCTTCTACTGGAGCAAGCTGTGAAGTGGTACATGACCTAAAATCTATATTCTTTTCTCAGGCTGAGCCTCTGGTTGTTGATCTTAAGGACCTCTTCCAATTAATATATAACATGAAGAAGAAGGAAGAAGAAGACAAAAAAAAGGTGAGTAAAGTTATAGAAACTGCATTAGTCTGCATAGAAATAAAGCCTGCTTTGGCTTGGCTTTCAGGTTCTTATTAGGCTTGACACTGACACTGTCTAAACCTAGGATCACTTGAAACTATTGGTTAATAGTTGTACCAGTGGTTTGATGACCTCCTATATCTTGTAAGCTCTCCAAAGTAAGAGGCTTTGGATATTCCATGTGAAGTCTAAGTACTAAAAGCCTTCTTTTTTAGAGTGAAGAATCAAGTAAGACTGAGGTAAGTCACTCCAACTCAGCCTCACTTGTTTAGGTATGCTGCTGAGGCACAACTAGCTTTGACATTCTTTAAACTGCCAACATTATGGCTAAAACGTCAGATGGCCAATTGCATTGAAATGGGAGTAAAAGGGGCCTACAGAACTAATGCTGAGTAGCGATCTCCCTCATACTTCCTCTATCCATAACTTGTTCTGTGAAGCTTGCAAGTCTTGCTTAAGGCAAGTTTTGATATTCCAATTATTGCTGATGCTGTTTTCCATCTATTAAAGAATGGTAGCAAAGTGTTACCTCCTGATTAAGCTGACATAATGCATCTGGTAGATTAAATTTTAGAACTTTATGCTGATGCCATTAAGGAGATCATAACTGACTGTCTCCACATTATGTGGGAAATGCAGTATTTACAGATATGTTTACAGGAGATTTGCGTAATGCTTTTGCAAGAACTCTTAACAGCTATCAATTCTTTCAATATTTCTGATTTCAAGGGCATTGATCAGATGGACTTGTTTGGGGATATGTCAACACCTCCTGATATAAGCAGTCCTACAGTAAGTAGAATTTAGCTTAGCTGTCTTAGTCCTTGTTTTGTGAGCAAACTTACCCCTAGTAATAAGATCTGGTTTTACTTTCTTAGTCCTGGTTTGTGGTTTCACTGAGGCATCTGTATAGCTATCATTAGTGTACTAGTGCATTAGAGCTATAATAGTATCTACTTAATAACTAGGGTAGCTAATGTCACTCTTCTCCAACAGAGTTCACTTGAGACTGTTTGACAGAAATAAGCATGTATTGTTAGTCATAGAATTGTAGTGTGGGTTGGAAGGGACATTAAAGATCATCTGGTTCCACCCCTGCTGTCGTGGGCAGGGATGCCTTCCACTAGACCAGGTTGCTCAAAGCTCTGTCCAACCTGGCCTTGAACACTTCCAGGGAGGGGTCATCTATAACCTCTCTGGGCAACCTGTTCTAGTGTCTCACCACCCTCACAGTAAAGATTTTCTTCCTAATATCCAGTCTAAATCTACCCTCTTCCAGTTTAAAGCCATTGCCCCTTGTCCTACTGCTGCCTGCCCTTGTAAAAAGTCCCTCCCCAGCTTTCCTGTAAAACACCTTCAGGAAGGCTGCAATAAGGTATCCCTGGAGCCTTCTCTTTTCCCAGCTGAACAACCCCAACTCTCTCAGCTGGTCCTCATAGGGAAAGTGCTCCAGCCCTCTGATCATCTTCATGGCTTTCCTCTGGCTCTGCTCAAGCAGGTCTATGCCCTTCTTCAGCTAAACTGAGGAAGTGTGGACTGGAT